ATGTGTACTCTGCTAAACCAATAAACCGATATAAAAATAAAAATAGTAAAATTAGTATTTTTATATATATTCACTTTTTTCGCATTTTTTCGCAATTTTTACATAACGGCTTAGAATTTTGAACTTTTGCTTTTTTAAAATGCCAATATAATATGATCATTCATTAAAATCTACACATAGTACGTCTGTTTTTAGTAGTTGCTTAAACGTTCAGCAGGGGATAAAAAAATTGGGAATAACTGTATATACTATACATCATTAACTGAGATTTTATCTCAAATTTTATCGAATTTGGTAGCTTAATAATATTAAGTTTAAAACATAAACTTACCTTCTCTGTAGCATGTGATGCGGTGAGCTCAGAAGCACGGTGGAATTTTCTACGGAATATGTTAGGCATGGATGACGATGATTCTTTCAGTGCCAGTGAACGTTCATCTGGAGGATTGGTTAACTGCTCATGGGTCCTATTACNAAGGGACAAAAAAATTGGGAATAATTGTATATACTATACATCATTCACTAAGACCTTATCTCAAATTTTATCGAATTTGGTAGCTTAATAATATTTAGTTTAAAACATAAACTTACCTTCTCTGTAGCATGTGATGCGGTGAGCTCAGAAGCACGGTAGAATTTTCTACGGAATATGTTAGGCATGGATGACGATGATTCTTTCAGTTCCAGTGAACGATCATCTGGAAGTTTGGTTACTTGCACATGGGTTCTATTACATTCGCTATCGTTTTTTTCTTTGTTTAACTTCCAAAAGTCATTCAACTTGGCTACCAGCGTGGTTTTATTTTCCATCCCGTGTTCTGAGTATGTTAAATCAGATGAGTTTGCAAGTACAGAACACGGATTGTTAATGTTCTCCGACGGTATACTGCTCCATATTGACTTGGTCGTTAAAATATTCGAATCTTTAGAACTTTGGGGTAGAAAGTCCGCTTTACTGGAAGAAGCACCTTCGTCATATCTCCGTATAAAATCTTTGGATTTTCCACCATTAAAAACGACTTCCTTGCGATGGGATTGGATACATTTTTTTCTCTTATCGTTTATGTAATTATCCTGTACTATAAGGCTCTCAACTTC